TAGGGAAATTAGGTGATGCTTATAGTATTGTAACTGAGGAATTATAACCTGACAAGATACTGTCCTTAGATAAATCTTGGCCTCCAGAATACTCCTTCTACTTTACTGCCTGTGGGGATTTTTGCCTGTCTGGATTCCTGCACACTGCCTTACGTTCTGCATTGAGATAACTTTTCCTAGAGGCTGAAGGAGTTAATGCAGAAACAGATGACAGATTAGTCTGGGACAGGCTGTGATTTGGAGTAAGAGAACTATCCCAAATAGCTGGCCAGCTGCCAAGCGGATAGACGATTTGGAAAACATATCGGCAGAGCAATGGGGTTCTCTGGTGCAGCTCTGGGTGAGGATTATCTGTCAATTTAACTGCTGTGCTATATAGTCTGACTGACGTACCCGAAGTGCCTTTAGCTTATATAAAGAAAAATTATTAGCAAATACATATTTTATCTCTGGGCTGCTAATAAATTGAGTAAGAAATTTCTCTTTTCTTTCCCTCCAACATATGTCTAAAAAATAGGGGAAAATATTTTGATTAGAACATTTCCACTCCCTTTTCTTTTCTTTTTCTCGTCGCTGTTCTCCAGCCAGCTGTTGAACTGATGAGAAGTGTGGAAGGGCTGTGAGAAGGGAGATTTTTCTGAAAATCAGGCACATTTCTATGGGAGTTGAATGATTCAAAATTGAGTTCCACATAATTCACCGGGGATCTCTTGCAATACAAATAAGAAGTCTGTCAAGCAGCGGTGCAGTTGAAGAGGTTATTTCCGTCTTAACTCTCCTGGGCACAGCTGGTAGGTGGGATGTTTCAAAAGGGGGAAATTAAGAGTCAGGATACGGTGATTGAGCTCCCCACGATACCAGATCAGCATTTTTGGTTTTGTATGCTACTATACTTTTGAATTGTGCATTTTAATTATTGCAAGCAATTAAAAACCGCTATTTTTTTTACCAGCCCTTCGCTGACCTAGATGACACAAGTGAATGGCCTCAGTCCATTTCTCTTTGAACAAGGAACCACACTGAAAATATTGCCATTACATTGGACTTCCTCACTGGCAGTCTCTGCTGGGAGGAGGAGGACTGAAAGGGTTAGAACAGCCAACTTTCTTTCAAGTCCTTCTTTCTGGAAAATTTTTTGCTATTGCTAATATCTGCCAGAGCAACACCAAGAGCATTAGTTGAAGGCAAGATGTTGGGGCAGCCGTAACTGCTGGGGTTGTCAGAACCTGCTGATTCCTTTGCCAGGAGACACCTGGAGCTGTGTCTGTCCTGGCATACTCAGTGTTGCTTGAGTGGAGCTCTACAAGTGGGAAAGTTTCCAGACAAAAGGCCAGTGTTGACATAGTTGTGGTCTCTCCAGGCCATGGTTGAGACACATCACTAGGGTGGTATGAGGGGAAGTTTCCATTAACCATTGTTCCCAGCTTGCATCCACCACCACTGTGGAGTTCTGCAGCTGGATTTCCAAAAGAGCTTAATGCTCAAGAGCTCTCCTTTCAGCAACTTAAATAGAGGGGCTAAGTTCTTTCCAAAACACTTGGCAATCGTCAGCCCCCATTGAGAACAAAGCTAAGCACATTAAACAGTCCAGCCACTTCACTGTTGTGAAAATTTGGCTGCTGTTGTGAGCGCAGAGTGTTTAAATAACACAGAGACTGGCAACAAAGGCATCTGGCTCCCAATGCTGAGCAGCGAGGTGCTTTACCTTCACCCGGCCTTGGCGGCTGGTACTGTAGGCTTCCTCCTTGGCTGATTCCTTGTGCATCACAGCCTCTGACCAGCTCTTTCTCTGGATGTTGTGACAGCTGTGAAGCTTGCTGATGTGAGGATTAGTCGGCTGCTGGGCACATGACGTTCAGATTGCTGTGCTTATTTGACCTACCTCTGATTGCGAGGAATTTAGTGCATAAAAATAACACGCTGAACAAATTTGGCAGAAGGATGCACAGCTACAGTGCCGTGCACACACGGGGAGAGGAGTTTGGGGAGCAATGTAACGTGAGGCCGTGTACTGTACTCCTGCAGTAATAGCAGTGCCAAGTCCAGCGCAGCCCACACTGTTGTCTTGGGTTACAAAGAGTTCCAGCACCACATAGACCAGTAAACTAATAAAGACAGGTTCCTGGCTTGTATTATTGGCAAAACTTGATAGAATAAATAAAAAGATACCAAGTGCCAGGAATTGCCTAATGTAAAATGCTGGACAAGGAAATACTGTTTTTTCTACCTGGCGTTTTAGACACCCTTATTAACTCTGTTGTTCTCAGTGGAGTTCCTGATCGTTTACAGGAGCGTGATGGAGAGAACAGAGAGTCAGCCTGCATAGACTGATAGAGGTGTGCGTGCAGTGTGTGTGTAGGAATATCTTACAGGGCAGTAGTCTTCAGGCTCCTAGGTGATAATGTTTAGCTCTGTGCATGATTTGTTCAGGCTTTGCATTAGTGAATAGCGTTCACCTTGAATGAGCTTCACATTGGCACCTGGGACATCTTACGTTTGCTGAAGGACCAGGTCTTTAGCAGTGAGAGCTTCTTAGACCGGGGGAAGTGAAATGTGTGCATGTAGGAAGCAAGGCAAGATCTTGATTGCTGTAGGTTCTTCTCCCAGATCACCTTGGAGATGCATCGCTCTTTGCTTTATTTTGCTATTGCATTGGTAAGATGCAATACCTCAATTTCCCGTGTTTAAAAGGAGCATTTTTGCCCTTTATTTTTTCAGAGAGATTGTAAAATTTCTTGAGGCCAATGATTACAAAGCTCATGTAATTGTGCAATATGGCATATTATAGATAAATGATAATATGTAAACGGATACCGTGTATCTAGAACTTCAGCAATATTTTGTTTAGGGCAATTAGAAAGCTGGGGCAGATTTCACAATCCAGTTGACTTTTAGAAACACTCTGCATGCTCACCAGAAATATAATAAAAGTATTCAGAGCTAGTGTCTTGCTTCATTTTTATCTGTATTACAGAATTTGTGAGATTTGTACATGCGTATGTCTATATATATTTGTCTGCTCTGGTACAAGCATACTCACATCAAAGGAAGCTTTCCTGCATTTAATCCTTTAAATAAGCCTGTTTCTGCCAGCCCATATATCTGAAATGAGATTAGCCATCCATTTAAAGCAAGGCTACAAGAATGCCTTGGTGCATTGAGCCATTTGGGCTGGCTTTAAAACAGTCACTAGCCTGGGTTTCCCCACCACCACCTTTAGACATCAAAATGTTTTAAACACACATGCATTAATCGCAACTATCTCCAGGGAGAGCTGAAGCGCCTGCTTGTGAAGATCCGCCATGCAAACAAAGTCGAGCAGGCGGTACCCTTTCCCATAGCCTTTCCCTGTAATTCCTTTTTGCTCCGCTTGCTGGAGCATGCGGGGCGTGGGCTGAGGAACACAGCCATCCCGTCCCGTGCCGCAGGCCCTGTGGCAGTCGGGCAAGCTGTGGTTTCTGATTTTACTGATGAGGCACAGCAGGAAACGTCAAGTTTTCAGCACTGAGGTCTTGCCAGCGGCGTGCCGGGTCGGCAGGCGGAGGAGGAAGCGCTCTGCTGTTGGTACAACACGGGTAGCGGGATCCTTTCCTCTCGCTCGCTCTCCTATAGATGTATATCTATATCTTTGATCCTCCTTTTCTCTTCTCCCAGGCCCTTACTAGCCTTTCCTGGAAGCTGATTTTATCAGTGCTGTTTTAAAATATGAGTTACAAAAGACAAGCTCTCTGTTAGCAAGCCCTGGTTTGCACAGTGCAGTTTCCCCGTGCATTTCCTATGCAGTTCCAATATTGTTGCCGTGATCTTCTAGATTAAAATAAAAACTACATTGTCAACACTGGCCTTGGTTTGGATTAGAAATGACATTTAATGTTTACCATTTTACACCCTAAATATTGCAGATGCGGGCACAAATAAGGAAATATTATGCAGTCACAGGATGTTTGTGTAGTTATTATGAAAGCCATTGTATCTCTAAAGTCAAAGTGAATTAGCTAATAGCCAAAATTATAAAAGGATATCTGCTTCAATCAGAAGTCCTCCCTCTGAAGTCTGTGAGGCTTGTACTTCTGAGGCATGTGAAAACTTCTGAAAATTCTGCCCCCGGGGACAGTCCATGTTTAGGCAGCTGGCTTTAGGATCCTATTTTTGGAACCTTTGGTTGAGATTTTAAATTGGATTTTTAGTGGGAATGGTGCCTGAACTGGTGCTCTGGGATCTTGAAGGCTATATCTAAGATTAAAAAAAGAAAAATGGGGGGGATATAATTCTTTTCTGGGGGTAGGCTCCTTTTTATTAGATTTTATACACCATTGAAGAGCAATGTGGCATAAGTAAGTGTTCTTTGATTTTGCAGAGTATCTTTAAGTAGTCCTTGTAGCCTTTCACGTTGCTAGTTTTCTTCACTGTCTTTTAGAATATCACCGGTAGGATGTCATAGAAAATAGCAGTCTCCTTAGTGGAGTGCATCGGTACAGCTTGAAAGTACATTTTCATGAGGTGTTGTCCTATTGCAAGTACTGTACATTGTTTGATTGTAAATTAAATGTACCCTCAAAGGTGTATATGAAGAAGTCCGTGTATGAGGAAATTGGGAAGGATTACAGTATGGTGGATAAATCGGAGCTAAATGACAGTACTTACGATTTGTTCCTGAGGATGTGATCTTAATGAAGTGGCACAGGTTGGAGCAATATGTCTTCTGCCTGCAGTCTAGTGCAACTCAGTGTTGGATTCAGTGATCTTATGTGGGCATCCAAGATTAGCAACCAGAATTAGGAATCAATTCTGAAAATAATGGCATGAGCATGTCCGGATCTGAATATGCACCCTACAAAATGGGCAATCTAATATTTAGCAAGAGTAGATACCAAATTTACAGTGAAAGCTTAAAGAATTATTGCTTGTAAAGTATTTAGAGATCTTCTAAAATCCATGTTCAGCAATATTATTTACATATTTTCTTCTAACATAGGTGAATTTATCCTTTATTTCTGTAGGTCAGATCCTGCCAGCAAACCGAAACACACCAAGTCCCATTGATCCTGAGACTATCCAAGTTCCTGTTGGCTACGAACCTGACCCTGCAGATCTTGCTCTTTCCAGTATTCCTGGCCAGGAGATGTTTGACCCTCGTAAGCGCAAATTCTCTGAAGAAGAGCTGAAACCACAGCCGATGATTAAGAAAGCTCGCAAAGTCTTCATTCCAGATGACCTGAAGGTAAATTGGAACTGGTGACGAGGTTGTTTGTACAGACTCTATGACAGTTACTCTGAGATAATAGGTTTGGAGCATGAATCTGTTTTCTCATGTAAGGTAAATCTGCCAGTCGAAATACAACTTTGTTGTAGGATAAGACTGTTAACGGTTCTGAAAAAGACTGAGGGGAGGATGTCCCTTATCAGTTATGCAACAGTTGAAATTCATGAGATCAACATTCATTTCCTTTGTATGCCAGAAACTTCCTGCGTGACCTTGGACAAGCTTACTTTGTCCCATATTTCCCACTTATGAAACAGTCTGATCATGTTTCCTTTTCATCTATCCTCTGCCTGTCTCATCAGCACAGACTGTGAATTTTTCAAGGAAGAACCCATCTCTTACAGGGTCCATGGAGGTCCCTGATAATGACAGAATGAAGTATATTGTGTCTTGTTTGGAAGTTGCTTTAGCTCTGTGTTTAATAATGAATGGGAACACTATAGCAAACACTGCTAATCGAGGTGAAAGAATCTAAACTAGTTGTAGGAAAACTGAACAAAATTATTCTGCCGAGAATTCTATTTTAATACAATATTTAAAAGATATAATAATAATAATACAGTGTTTAAAAAGAAAGAGCACCCTTGTCTGTGCCTCTCACTGCTTCTGAGATGTGAAGAGCAAAGAGCATGAAGAGAGCAGAACAACTTGATCAACTGATTCAGCTTATCAAAGAACTGTGAAAATTGTCATTATTTGCAAAATTCTATCCCCAGTATGTGATTTCCAAGAGGACCTTTTTTTATCAGAGGCAGTCAGTGCAGAATTTCATTCTACTGTTGCTGTTGCCCCCCAGAACACAGACTGAAAGCCTGTTGGAGTTGGTGAGAATCTCTGGCTGTGCGTGCGAAGAGACTGGGATGCCATGTGTTTACACCAGATTGATAGCATTAGGGAGAGTAGCTGACGCTATTCACTATTTTTATCCCTAAGGATAATGTTGTGCAAGTTAAAAGCACAGAAATCACAATTCCGGTAGTGTTCAGGTGGTACGTTGCTGTCACTTTGCACGTAGTATCCTCAGCTTTCGTTTGGAAAGGTTTACCAATGCACCATGCCATTACTTACCTGGGCAAATTTTACTACCAATGATGCTCTGTTGGCGTCGCAGTGTGCTGAGAGGTCTGCCTAAAGAGAGGTGTTCGATACAGAATCGGCTGTGCGGGTGTGAGGAGACTGGAGTTTACCCCTTGGTGCCATTTGTCATTTTGTGATATCTCCTAGGTGACCTTACTTGTCAAAGCCAACTTTTGCCAAAGATGCTCTTGGACTGCCTCATGCCAGAGGTGGAAAATATCAGTGTCTTGCATGCAGCAGTGGGGCAGTTTTCAGCCTAAGACTGAACTGGAAGTTCAGGGTCTCTCGTTTCCCTGAGATAATCACATCAGTTGCCCTTGACTCATTTCAGAGTGCTTGACCCAAGTGCTGCTTCTGCCCTGGCATGTGGAACGGCTGTTGAGTTCTGGGGGAGGGTAAGCAGATTAGACCAGTCAATCGTCTCTGGGTTGCATGTGATTTTGAAATGCCAGCCTTACCTCTTTCAGGCCTGGATTAAGAGATTTGCTGTAGCGATTTGTTAAAATAAAGATGGATGAAGCCTAGGTGGCACACTAATAAATTGCTTAAAGCTGATTTTTATAGAGTGGAATGAGATGGGAAATTATAAACAAGATTTGGGTCATAGCTTTTTGCTGCATGCTTGTTTTTAAGAGGATTGTTGGGGGTCCCATCTAAGTACAGGTGAAGAGCAATTTAGAGGTATGCTGGCTCCAAATCATCATTGCTACATGCCTCGTTCAGCTAAACTAATATAAAGCAGTTGTAGAGTACTTCTAGCAGTCGTTTTGCTCTTGCTTTGCCTTTATGCAAGCAGCGGGAGAAGATGCAGAGCAGCGGTGCTAGGCCTGGCATGCTTCGTGCTGAAAGACAGAGGAGTGGTGGGGTGTATGTCTGTTCAGGGCAACATAGGAGCAGGTGGCTCCTGGTCCTTGTAGTGGGTATGGAACTGTGCTACCACGCTTGGTGAAACAAGAAAGCCACACGAGCAATGTAAGCATATAGAAATGGAGGGATGACTCTGGGAGGGGAAGTTTGAGCTATATGACTTGAGCAGGCAATTTGAGGGTTGAATGGCTGCATCACTCTTACTCTGCAGGGGACTGAATTTCACTTTTCGTGAGAGATTCTGCCTACTTTGTATTTACTGAGTTGTTCCAAATTGCTATAACTCTAATTCAGTTTCAAAGCAATGTTGAAGCTGCCGTTTCACTGAAGGCCACTTCGTTTGAAGAGTGGAAAAATCAGGTGAAATTAAGTCGTGACTTTAGAGCCATTGATGCACCAAAGGCGATCTCCTGGCGGCAAGTCTTTAGGGATAACACTTTGGGAAATGTTAGCTTATGAAACTTCAGAGGTTAGCGGACCTATTTCTGGTAACTGCTTTTTTCCCCACAGTCAAAGCCTATTGTACTAATCTCTTTGTGGATGGTACCAAAGCAGCCATCCTTGTTGTGCCAAGGAATCCTCTTCCAGGGACTTGCTGTTCTAGGGTGCACACAGGAACGCTTTGGGGCTCTGTAGAGAAAGCTTTGAACAGAGAGAAAGAGCTGAACCATAGACGAAATGGATGATACCAACAAACAGAGTGAACCAGGTGTTGGCTGGCAAAGATGAGCAGGGACATACAAGAGGTAATTAGCACTGCTCCAGCAACCGGTAGAGAGTGAATCATAGCATGCGAAGGTGGGTGTGCTAACTAGGTCAGTGTAGATGTGAGATGAATTGTACCACTGGAATACTGCTTCATTTTTCCTTGGAGGAATTCACAGTGAAGAGCATGAGGGAGTTAGCGTAAACATTTTGACAGAAACATGGGCAAGCATCTGTGCTCCTTGGATGGATTACGCCATGTAAATCTGTAACTTTTGTCCCAGCAGTGCCTGGCACTGTTGGGGCTCGCTGGGCCAGGCAAGCAAAATGTGCTTGTGTGGAGTTAAGCCATCCCCAGGCCGGAGGCTGTGGCTAAGAGCACATCCTGGTGGCCGCTCAGTTTACTGAAATCTAATATCTTGTTTGTTTCTTTCTGTGTTTAATGAGCAGGATGACAAATACTGGGCAAGGCGTAGAAAGAACAACATGGCTGCGAAGCGATCGAGGGATGCCCGCCGGCTGAAGGAGAACCAGATCGCCATCCGCGCCTCGTTTCTGGAGAAGGAGAACTCGGCTCTCCGCCAAGAGGTGGCCGACTTACGGAAAGAGCTGGGCAAATGCAAGAACGTCCTTGCAAAGTACGAAGCTCGACACGGCCCCCTGTAAATTCAAGGGGGGGAGTGGGTTTTTTTTCTTTTTTCTTTTTTTTTTTTTTTTTTTTGTTGCGGGTTGGCATTTGAATAGATGGACAATGTGTTTCCTGTTTGATAGCACCACACCCAAACCAACCTTTCTGTCTTCAGCACTTTACCAGAAGCAGAAACAAAACTGACTTGCGTTACTTTTTTTGTTTGCGTATGCGTGTACCTGCGTATGTGTGCACATGTGTGTTCACACGTCTGTATATGTGTGTGCGCGCGCTTGTGTGTGTGTGTGCATGTGCGCGCGCGTGTGTGCGTGCGCACGCATCTCAGCACTTCCCATTTTTATGAAGCCCTCTTCAAAGGGTGCCACATTTTTACCTGGACTGTTGAGAACCGCCATAGTAAGCTTTTTATTATATTTTTTCAGTGCTGCTTCAGAGTAGGGTTTTTATGTTATTGTAACCAGTTCCATCCTCCTGATTTACTTGGAAAGATCCCAGTATAAATTATAAAAAAAAAGGAAAAAAAAAAAAAGAAAAAAGAAAAAAAAGGCTGCTTCAGAGTAGGGTTTTTATGTTATTGTAACCAGTTCCATCCTCCTGATTTACTTGGAAAGATCCCAGTATAAATTATTATAAAAAAAGGAAAAAAAAAAAAGAAAAAAGAAAAAAAAGAAGATCTCAGTTTTTTGGAGAGTAACAAGCTATTGTTTAAGTATGTCTAATCAGAAAAGTTAACATGCTAATAAAGTGCACAAATAATTTAGTACTACACTGCAGAAATATTAATTTATAGATTGCTTTTGTTGTATTTTCAGTTTTGGTGATAATTGTCTTCAGATTTAAAGTGCTGTTAGACTGAGTTAGCTGTACTCATTATAGATCCCATAATGGCTTCTCTATAGCTATTAAGGTTCCTTTTCTTTCCACGGACCCCAGGTAGGTAGGAGTACTGTTGGTAGACCACAGAGTGTGTATTTTGCACTGTCTGTACCTGAAGCAATAATCCTATTGTACGCTAGCGCGCATGCTGCCCGGATGTTCCTAGTGGACGTAGGATGGTTTCCCTACCCAACAGGAGTTTTGATGTCTTTAACAAAAAGTTAAAAAGTAAAAGACACATTAACGTGAGCATGCTAATTGTATCCCTGCTATAGGGAGCGCATGTATAAGAAGCAGGATAATTAGTTGAACGAGAACAAAATTAATAGTATCGAATCAGATCCAATGTCAAAATCAGAGGGGCTTTTCGGTTTTTGGTTAGTTATGCATTTCTTCAAGTTCCATTTTGTGACTAAAAGTTAAATAAATACCTAAATTCAGTTGTTTTTTCCCATGTTCTGTAATATATTTTCTGTGGATTATATCTTGCTGTTTTAAAAATCACTTTTATTCAGTTAGAAGAAGTCACTGGTTTGCAAAGTCCATTTTTCCTAGCAATTGTCGTTTTGAGTGTGACATGAACTGATGGTTCTGAACTTTCTTGTTTTAAACTCTCTATTTGCTTTTGAACACGTATGTTCTAAGATAAAGTGGACTTCTGAAAAATGAATGTAAGAGACACTGGTGTATTTCAGAAGGGGATGGTGTTGTCACATACTGTGGTTAATCCAATCAATCTAAGTGTTTACTATAGACCAAAAGAATAGATATTATAAAATGTATAAAGTTTATACAGAATAATTATAGTATGTTCGTTTTGTACAGTATTTTTCAAGTACAAATACTGACAATGTATTTTGAAAGACATATATATAGCAAAAAGAAAAAGCTATTCCATGTTTAAAATATATAGCAAAGATATATATTCTCCATTATTGTACAGAAAGGAAATGCTTAGGGGTTTGTTGGTTGTTGTTTTTTTTTTTTTTTAAATCTTTAATATTTTAAGCCTACCACTGGCACACCGGCATGTTCTATGCTTTAAATTAAATTTTTATGGAAGTAATATGGCTTTCCAGGATGTTCCATATTACTGAAAAAGAGAGACTTTATTATTTTCCATCAGAAACACATAAAGAAACTGTTTAATAGGGACAAAGCACAACACGGATTTTAGTCAACTATTGATTGGACACTACAATATTTTGTAAAGGCAGAAAAATAATATATAACTAAAAAAAAAACCTCATAGTCATTTCTAAGCTGCTGCTGCTGCTAGAATCTGTTTCCAGCTGAGATTTTTTTATAAATAGCTCTGTTCATGTATACCGTTGTACGTACTGCATACGGTTATTAACATGTGAGGAAAATATGGTGCTACATGTCTTGCTCACAGTTCTCTAAGTGTTTTGACATTATTTTCAAATAAAAAGGTTGTTCATTCCATTAAATCATTATTCATGCTTCAGGAGATTGTTACAAAGCACTCAACATCTTGTGCAGCATTAAAAATATCCTCGCATCAATGGCATCTTTCCAGTATTTTTCCTCAAACATACCCAACTGGTCAGCGTCCCTTAACGTGCAGTACTTGCCTGTGGACCATTTATTCAGCAAATTGAATTTCCATGTGCTGCAGCAAAGTTTAAAGCGTAGTAAGCTATTTTCTAAAGGTCAGTATAAGCACTGGATGCATGGGTAGAGAAATGAGACTGGCAGTGTTTGGCACAAGTCAATGTATCTGCTATAGCCACTATGAAATAAACTTTATTTTTTTTCCTTTGGAAGAAGCGTGACCGTGGCAGGGCTCAGCCAGCCGCTGCTGTGGATACACTTTTAGCAGCAACATAGCAAATTGCAACAGCTAATTGCCCTCACGATGATTATTCTTGCCTGAACAGCAGGAACGGTGCGTATCAGATCAGCTGGTACGTACCTAGCTAGGGCCATCAGTGGGTTGCATTGTGACCACAAAACTTTCTTTAACACGCAAAAGGCAGCTTGGAAAAAAATTGCAGGTAATTCTTTTGTTTGTTTTGGGCAGGGAAGGGGTGGGAGGTGGTAGTTTTTATAGGCTGGATGTCACAGATTTATTGTCGCGGCCACAGAGGAGCACAGAGGTTCCCAGCGGCTACCTCGTCCAGCAGCCCCAAAGCTGCTCAGGTGCCTCCTCGCCCCGTTCTGCCGCGCGGGAGGGCCGTCGGGCAAGCGTGCGGCTCGGGGGGCTGGGGGCGTGCTGGAGCGAGCGGGAAGGGCTGCTCAGCGTCAGCCAGGGCACCCGCCCGAGTGCCGGCTGGCGTCTTCTCCTTTTTGGGGGGGAAGGACTTTGGAGGAGCCTGTGGGACTTAGGCACTCACCGCTTACGGTGGGAGTTAGGTACCCTGGCTCCTCTGAAAAGCTCACCCTTAAAAAAAAAGAGAGGGGGGAAAAAAAGGGGGCAAAATATGTGGGCTAAAACTTGGAAAAAACCCCAGGTTCTCTAACCAGGCTGTCTCCCCAGAATAAAATCATTAACAGTAACAAATAAATAAATGAAAGTTTAGCTCATTTTCAGTTCCCAAGGACAGCTTAGCTGGGCTCGTCACACCTCTGATGGCTTTGTTGCTCATGAAGGAGCTTGTAGGTGTATGAAATTGTAATTTTATAAAAATAGAAATATATATATTTGCAGAATAATTAATAGCGTGTCTAAATAATTTACAGACCTCTATTAAACCGTAAGCATTGGTAAAATGCTTGTCTTTTTTTTTTTTTTTTTTTTTTTTT